CCAAACTAAACTGGATTCACACACTCGCATAAAGGAAGACTGAAGAGAACAGGGAGACTGAAGGAAGACAGGAAAGAAAATGCCATACCTGGAATCAGCGTTAGTAACCACGGCGGCGACTGGAGCTACGGCGGAGGGCAAGCCAGGTTTTATCTTCATCTTGGTTGAGCCGGTCACCCAGAGCGGCTAGCTCGGCGTCAGACAAATGACCTCCCTCCTCGTCTTGAATCGTGGTCTTCACATTGTCGATAGCATCACTTTGCGCGACGTAAAGAGTGATGGTCTAGCCAGGAAGAGTGTTGACGAAAATCTGCATTCCACCACGGAGGCGAAGTACCAAGTGAAGAGTGGGCTCCTGCTTCCGACTGCGTGCTTGCAAAAATCAAACGCTGCTGGTCTTGGGGAATACCCTCCTTGTCTTGGGCAGCAGCCTGCCTGTTGTCGTCCTCATCAGCTTCGCCATCACCACCGGTAGTATACATGTAGGTAGCGGGTCGCTTGGAATCGCCATCGGAGTCTCCAGTGGATGCCGTGCGGAGAGAAGGGTGATCCACGCTAGCACCCTGACTGTGCTGCAGGCTAAGCAGGGCCAGGCCCAGGAAGGCAAGAAACATAATTCTTATCTTGATTCGTCGCACGGAGCTGCAGCGGGTTGAGCCATCGGAGTCTGGGGTCGAATCACGTTGTTTTATTTAAAACTACACCGCTGCCACCAATGTAATGGTTAGCCGAGAAGAGTGTGGTGAAATCAACAATAATTACTTTTATTCTACTTTCAGGTACACACCTGAGATATAATCGTTCGTGAAAGAAGAAGCGGCAAAATAAATAACTTTCTCTCCGGTGCTCACCTAGAGGCTGAATCCTTATTCTTCGAGTTAGCTTTCATTGCTATCCAATCTAATCTAATCTTCTCTTCATCAAAACAGAAATGCGCAGCCGCTTATATGCAGCAGACGCCGTACGCTTACATACGGAGATACACTAAATATACATCAGGCAAAGCTCCGTATTAGTTCCGTACTGCTTCCGTATTGGTCGGGCAGGGATACTACACTTCCATCTTCTATTCATTACTTGATTTCTTTTGTACTTCAGCAAAAATATTATTTCATTGCCAAATTAGTTTGAGTTACCTTTGAAGATCATGTTCAGCTGTCTTCGTAATCATCATACTCGTTCAACCGATGTCACCCTCACCCTGCGAATAATTTTTTTAAATTTATTTTTTACTAGAGCCACGTAAACCCGTCATGTGTGAGCCATGAATAAGGGGAGTGGTGGCGTGGTCTGGGATGCTCTGCCGACCTTGGGTCTCGGCTTCATCACAACCAGGCGCGCCAATAGCAGAGAGAGAAAGAGAGGGAGAGAGAGAGAGAGAGAGAGAGAGAGAGAGAGAGAGAGAGAGAGAGAGAGAGAGAGAGAGAGAGACAGATAGATAGATAGAGAGAGAGAGAGAGAGAGAGAGAGAGAGAGAGAGAGAGAGAGAGAGAGAGAGAGAGAGAGAGAGAGAGAGAGAGAGAGAGAGAGAGAGAGAGAGAGAGAGAGAGAGAGAGGAGAGGGAGAGAGGAGAGAGAGATAGAGAGAGAGAGCGGGGAGGGTTGGGGAGCAAGAGAACTAAATAAGAGAACTAAATAAAGTATGAACTTAGAATTTGCGACTTCGGCGGTAATAGTCAGGAAGTTGTGTATTGAGCAGGGAGTGGTGCTTTCTTTCAGGTTTGCCGAGCGGAAGGTGCGACGTGCTCCTCGTGTGCTCCGGATGGCAGTCGTGAGTCAGTCAAGTGTCAAGTTCGGCAAGAAGCGTGTGCTCCTCGTTGGAGCAACCAACTTCCTAAATAAAGTATAATAAAAAAATTAGAGAGAGAGAGAGAGAGAGAGAGAGAGAGAGAGAGAGAGAGAGAGAGAGAGAGAGAGAGAGAGAGAGAGAGAGAGAGAGAGAGAGAGAGAGAGAGAGAGAGAGAGAGAGAGAGAGAGAGAGAGAGAGAGAGAGAGAGAGAGAGAGAGAGAGAGAGAGAGAGAGAGAGAGAGAGAGAGAGAGAGAGAGAGGGAAAGAGAGAGCGAGCGGGGAGGGTTGGGGGCAAAGAGAGGGGGAGAGAACTAAATAAAGTATAATTATATAATGCGTAAGGGGTGCACATTCAGATCCAGAGAAAAGACTAAGCAGGGCACGAGGCGTATGGCAATATGCAGCAGTGTGTGGGCAGATGTGCATACATCTTACAAAGTGTCAGTGGCCCAGTGCCATTGCTGGGCACGGAGGTGCCGGAAGACAGACACTTTGAAACTTTGCAGCCGTTTCCGGTCAGGTGGCTGGCTGAGGACGGCGGGTGGCAGGGCATTCCATACAGGGACAGCACAGGCGGTGAAAGCTCTAGGGCAACTTTCCCGGCTATTGACAGGTAGCCTTGTCTCAAGCTGGTAGTTATGCATGTCGAGACGGACGAGAGAGAGACGAGTGGGTCGAACATGGGCTGGTCGGGGGGCTTGAGAGGGAGGCAAGAGCTGACGAAGTGGGCTGGTAGGATTGGAGCACAGTAGTTTGTAAATGTAGGTACACGCAGCTACCATGCGCCGGATAGACAGGCTTTGCAGCATTGCGCTGGGGCCAATCAAGTGGAGGGCTGAGCGCTGCGTCTGGTCAAGTCGCTGCAAGTGACAATCTGCTGCGCCCATCCAGACCAATGGGCAGTACTCCATTACTGGGCGTACAAACCCAGGGTACACTGTAGCTCGGCTGCGAGAATCCAGGAGCGGCGAGGCCTTCCGCAGGAGCCCGAGACGCTGGCGTGCTCTGATGGCGATGGTACGGAGGTGGTTGCGGTGGGAAAGTTGGCTGTCCAAGGTTACCCCAAGAAGCTTGAGGTTACTCTCTCCATTCAGGGGGACACCCGCAAACTGTACTGCTGGGAGGTCCCAGGCGGGGCGGTGATGGTCAATAGTCATGGCCTGGGACTTGGCTGGCCCGAACGCAATTCTCCAGCTGGGGCCCCAATTCACAAGGGCATCGAGAGCATTTTGCAGGACTGTCGAGCTGTGGTCAATGGTATCCATGGTGGACAGGCACTGAAACAGCGTTGTGTCTTCGGCATAAGCGGCCGGATCTACACCTGGTGGAAGGTGGTCATCGGTATCGTTCGTGTAGAGGAGGAACAGTGTTGGTCCCAACAAGCTACCTTGCGGAACACCGGCTGTGATGCGGTGTGGGCTGGACGACTGCCCGCCAACGACAACACTCAGGCGCCTGTCCAGCAGGTAGTCCCCCAACCATGCAAGGAGCATGCCGGATACACCGTACTGCTGGGCTTTGTGGATATTTCCGTTTGATCCGTGTGGATCACACCTGGGTGGGAGACTCGATCGAACGCTCCAGCAATATCCACAGCAACAACCCGCACAGCTCCGCCCCCTGCAGCCACGGTACTCCAACGATGGTGTAGTATAATCAGCTCATCTCTCCCGTAGCTCCACTTCTCCTTCCATCATGACCGAACATCAACTATACAATTTAGAGCAATATCCATAGCCTGCAGTCATATCATGGCTGCTAAAATCCAGAGGTCATGACTTCGTAACATGCATAATGTACAAATGTAATGTACATGTACATGTACACGGAGTTAGGCGGACTTCCCGCCACTATCTCGGCCGCCCTGGATACCTGATGATGTGATGAAGGCTGATTCACTCGCATCTTCTGCTACATGATTGTACTGTGTCAGTGTGAGAAAGAACTGTTACTTTGAAGAAGACGAGTTCGAGCATACAATGCTGTAATGCCATGATTTCTACCCTGATTTTCATTGAAAACACTATCTGCATGACCTCCGAACCCTTTAGTGGCTTTACCATGCAGACCACCAGCACTGATCAGGTGCATTGTACACAATTGTATAGCCTACATACTAGAAATGTGGTATAATCGTGTGGTTATCCTCCTACCTCCGAGAGGATGCCAAATTATGCTCCAAATTTTCAACCACCAAATTATGCCAATAATTATGCCGGCGGGCGCCGGTGCCTAGCTGCCGTCTGATTATTGTGTGATAGAGCGTCCTTGGCGTGCATGCTACAGGACTGAATGTCGCCTTCACTCCAGGACCATGATCCAGTCTCGCCTGGCTAGGCGTGCCTGAGCTGTGCCAATCGTGGTTATCACGTGCTGCGAAAGCGCTAGGCGTCTCGAGCTAGTCGTTGGGTACGGGAGGTTGTGTTCGTAGAACTAGAACTATTTACTTGTAGAAGCGTCTCCAGCGCCATCCGGGTGCTTCAACCGTGCGGCGGCAAGAGAGAGGTGAGCGGCGCGGCCCGGATGGCGCTGGTGACGCTTCTAGTTCTAGTTCTACGAACACAGCCTAGCCTACACACTGGAGCCAGGACTGTCTAATCATGATAATTATGTGGTGCAGAGTACTTTCTTTACGACTTTAGTCACGCGATCAGCAATACTAGAGTGTTGGACGATTGACAACGGTTGCCATTGACAGCATGATATCAGCTGTCCAACATTCACAGTTTGCCTATCGAGTATCGTACATGGACTCCACTGTGTTTGTACATCTCCCTCGCTGGCCAAGTTCAGTTCAGAGAGGCTTCCCCTTCCAATAGGGGATTTGCGGGAATACAGTGCTACATAATGACCGTAGCGGTGTTTTTTTTGGGTTGTGACACAGTCTTTTACAAAAACCATGTGACAATCATTATGAAATCGCGGATTTTCGCGCGGCGGTGGGATCCTCCTGGTTTTCACAAGCTGACTCAGAGATCAGCGGGGCGGGCCCTGGTCATGTTGTTATCATGCACCATGGTTATCAGAAACCGACTCTCACTCGTGTGAAGTGGCTACACTCTCGCAGAGCCTCAGAACGCTTGCCGAAGACTGACTCCGGCCCGAGTCAAAATACATGTGACCAGCAGTGGACCATTTTATGCAGTGACTCCCTGGCCCTATCGACTCGTCTGTTACTCTGGAGTCTGGGTTATAGAGAGAAGTGAAGTGAAAAATAGTTTGTCTTGCCTCTTGCTAATGCTAGTCTTGGTGTTACACCCGGCACTAGCACTTCGTAGGTCTGCCTTCGAACTTCACGCCATCGAGACTTCAAGTCTTGGTGAATTTACACAAGGGCCCAGTGTAGCTCAGTCCGTGTCTGTATAGTTCACTGTCATACACACGGCCGGTGACGGGCGATGCGCTCCAGCGTGAGTGCGGCAAGAAAGATAGATCAGTGACAGTGTTGGTCCTTGAATGAGTGAATGAGGAAGTCATTTCTCTACTAACGCAAACCAACGTCTCGGCCGGCGGTCTGAAAATCTTCAAGTGCAGCGCCACCCTAGGTAGAGATCAAGAGCGGGCGCAGCATTCCGACCATTCAGACTACAGTCATTCTGATTCAGGGTTTCCTCTGCCGGCACGCTGCTACTGTGCTAGCGTGCTGCGATCCCGTCGTCCGGTCTACCGTGTGCAGTGATTCCGCATGCTGCGATCCCGTCGTCCGGTTTACCGTGTGCAGTGATTCTGCAAGGCAACAGCGATACTTTGCGGTGGGGAATCCGAGCGAAAAGGGCTGCTAGGTAAGTGCGCGCCGTTGCATATGAGCTCAGTGCAGGGGAATATTATTTTTGGATACAGAAGTGATTGCATTGTTATGTACTCGGCTGCGCTTGTGGATAGTCAGCCCCGACTCTGGCCTTGTGAAGTAAAATAAAACTCAACAACACCCACTCAATAGGTGTTTTGTTCTCTCAATCCTCAACTTCTCAATCTGTGTTCTAGTCGTGTCTTCGTCCTCCCTGTAATTTATTAATCTTTCTCGGCTCTGGTCTTGAGCGGAGTTTGTAGAATTTTCGTAAAAAAAATCCTATAGAGGACCTGCATAGTTGAGAGGTTCTGCTATACGTGAAACCTCTGAGTGAACGTAGAGAAATCACGTAGAGAGCAGGTGCCTGGGTTAGAGCCTACGGCTTCGCGAATTTTGGGTCCAGATTTCTACGCGTAGATGAGTTACGTTGCGACACACGCAAAGAAAATACGTATAGGGATCTGCTGGGTATCATTCAAATGCAGGCAGAAAACTGCCCAATATGGAAGGGGAAAATCCCAGTACACACGATTTCTCTACGTCAACAATAGACAACATAGAGCAGAACAGGTTCTCTTTACGTTACGGGAACGTGAAGAGCGTTTCCGGGATTCTTCGCGTTGCGTTCCCGTAACGTAGAGCAGAACATATCTTATGGTCTTGAAGAACACGACCGACCGTCGATGCTCAGTCAGTGTGGCTCAATGAAATCTAGGCGCGTCACTAAAGTACGCGCCGGGCGTTGCACGGGTCGAGACCAGTGAACACTGGGCCGTGAAATGGTGCAAGGCGCAAACTTGAGTGACACGACTGGATTTCATTGTGCGGCATTGTCCACATGCTCATGTACATGCATACTGAATGGGGTTTGCAACGTAAATAAATAAAGTCTCCCGTCGCACCCCTAATGCTTTGGTAAGGCGATGACGTTACACTGCCGCAGTGTGAACATTCACTTTTTTTGCGCATGGCTGTTCTGACAATGGTAGCTCAATAACCAGTGTCTACAATCACCTGGGGTGCAGGAGTGGTGGTGATGATGGAACCTATGACTGCCAAGTTTCCCAATTTTTATTAGGGATTATCCAGCATTTTTGGATTGCCTCCCGAAATAATGACGTCACATGCCATATCTATGGTCCCTATCAAAATGTGTGTGATTAAAGGGGAAGTCCGGTGAAAAATTTAAATTTCACAGTCCGTAGAGTTCGGGTCGCTGAGTCGAATGGTCTTTGTCCGAGGAGGCTGCGGCTTATGGTTCGTCAGATACGCCCAATCGAACATGTGCGAATTTGAGCGCGCATCACCCAGATCCAGGTGATGACGTCACAGCGTGCAGCCAGGTAGCCACACCATCTAGTTGTGTACAAAAATGGCCATATTCAGAGCGCGTTCGATTGGGGAACCGTTTGTCGCAGCTTCTTCGGACCAAGACCATTCGATTCAGTGTTACAAACACTACGTACTCTGTGATTTTCAGCTCGGTAAACCTCGAGGTTATACCGTATTTTAGCCGTCTCCGATTTGGACTTTTTCCGTCAGCCTCTACTGTGCGTTGCGTGCATGCAGAGATTGCAGTGCGTGCAGTGTGTTATCTTGCTGTAGTAAAGTCAACAAACTCATCACAGACGGAACTACTCCTGCACTGCCGTGCTGGGGTAGTATCTACAACAAGACTCGAGTCACAACTGACACAAGACTCAGAAAACTAGTCAACAGACGGACTTGTCATGTACTGCACTCGTATCAGTCGTATTGTACAGTCATGTAGTCAGAGAACGTGCGTTTCTCCTTGCCGGTGCCGGTGATTGTGCTTTGAGAAAGAAAATTACTTTTAGTTTTCCGCTCCCGCCTCATTATTTTATGCTACAGCGATGAGTGCACAACCGTGACAAGTGACAAAACAGCGAACAGCTCCTGGACCTAGAACTTTCAGATTCCATAGCGTTGCGAGCGAAGAGTCGTGCCCGTGGTTCAAAGAGCCTGCACTGTTCTCCAATTGAGTAGTCCGAAATATTCCAAGTTCGCACCAAAACATCACCATGTGGCAGGCTACTGGAGTCTACGCGAATCGGTATGGAACAACATTTAGAGCACTCGCATCACTCTTCTCCATTTTGGCGACCCTGCTCTCCAGCGATCTGATAATTACATCAGCCTCGTCTGCAATAGCAGCTGCTTCTTCATCAGCGGGAAACTCAGTAGCGCTCACTCTTGACCGGCCCGCACGGCCATTTCTTCAGCTGAATACCGAGGTTCTCAGCCCCAGACCGAACTCATGAAGGCCAGCCATGGCTGCATCCTCACTCTCACAAGGAATTACAGGTCTTCGGGGTCGCTTGCACCAACTAATATCAGTCGCCAAATCATTTGAAATAGCACTGACACTATTGCTTTCACGCACTCCTTTTGACCTAGCTGCACGCTATGACGTTGCAGAGGGTGTGGCGCGGCCGCATGACGTCATGGCGCAGCCCCCGAAACTCAGTTTTTCAAACGGAAATATCTCGAGAACGCTTTGTCGGAGACACGTGGGACCAACACCATTCGACTCAGCGCCCGAAACTCTACCGACCCTGAAATTTAAATTTTTCACCGGACTTCCCCTTTAAGAGTTACAGACATTTTTCGAAGTTACAAGCCGTGCCCAATCCGGTACCGCACACATAAACGAGATGTGAGTTTATAACATTTGTAAAATATGTACTTTACATCATTATCTGATCAATGACGTCATCATAAACAGTTGAAAATACATACATGTATACGTGTACATGTAAATGTGGAAACATTTACATATGCCGAGAAAATGAGGCAAATCCCGAGATTTTGCATCGATGATCTCGAAAATCACTGTCAGTACTTCTTCAAGTACTTGGCAGTTTAAGCTGGTCCATCCCCATATCCACTGCTTTTGCTGCTATTGCCTAGTGCCTCCCCCCCCCCCCCCCGTCAGGCGAAATAGCACGTCATAGTACATTCGAGATCAGCGGGAAGAAGATGACGACGTCCACTAATTTAGTATCTGTGCACACGAATCTGCTGTGTGTGTTACTCTGTGTGTCAGCTATGGCATCATCGCCTGTGCTTCCATGCCTAGCATGTACGTCTGAACCATCCTGCAAAGTTTGAATGACGTAGGTTGAGCGATCGCTCCTCGAAACATACTTTTTGAAATTCTCTTCATAGTATATCTTCCACCATTGAAATTTCGAATTTCTTCGAATTTTTTGCTGAGAGGGGTGGCTTGCAACCTCGATATGGCTTGTTCCAGGCATGCTTTGGAGCCATCGCCTGTTGAAACAGTGGCGGGAAGCTGCCCTGCAACTGTTCCAACAGGAAATTAATCGATCCGTGAGAGCGCGAGTCCGCGAATCTCGGTTGAATATTGAGTATTTCAAGCCTTTTCACGACGAAGATGGAGTTCTTTTTGGAGATGGACGTCACGGCAAAGGACATGGTGTCCGACTTCTGGCGTCTGGTGAAGCCAGGGATCATTTGTCCAGTCAGGTCGGCAGCCTAACCGTCGGTGAGCTTGTGTTTGGATCCCATTCTGCTCGATGTGGTAGATCACAAACAATTTGATATCGCACAAATTGATCTCAGCATCGTGCGTACGGTATTTTATATTCAGAAAATCCCAAAGTGTCTCTGTGTGGCCGTCCTATGCCACGAGAAACTCCAATCAGGCTCCTATGTCCTCTGCCTTCATGATTGAATGTCCACTTCGTTTGAACAACGAACACAACAATCGAGGACGGCTTTGCAATGAAAAATACAGCTATACTGGAGCTGAAAAAAAGAAAAAGAAAAACGTGCTCAGGATGAGACTCGAGTACACGCATACTCTCCCAGCAGGTGAAACGCAAATTTTTGTGAAAAATGCGTGTCGCCGACTGACCAGTAATTTCGCCTGACGCCACCCTACCGTATTTCAAGGCATTGAGCTGCTCACTTGTCGCTCTGTTGTGGTTTCTTATTGCAGCTGCTGTGTAGGACAGTCTCCACAAGGATACCTCCTGGCCGGGGTACGAAGATGGGAAATAATATCGTGCCTAGTAAGTTATTCACGATTGCTAAAATGTATTCTCTTCTTTTCAGTGGATGTGGCAGATGCAGGTGTGGCAAATGGAAACAGAAGCATTCTACAAGCACATAGTACTGCCGCCTGGACACTGTTTGTATACATCAGGAAGTCGTAGCATTGAGAGAGAGACGACACAGGCAACTATAACGCGAACCAGTGCTGGCTTCGCTCCGAGGGTGCACGATCCAGCTGCCCCGAGAACTGCCCTTGGGGCAGTGCCGATTCGCGCGCACTCGTCTATGGCAATGCTGGTCTGGGCTGCGTTTGGGTGAGCCTGTCAAGCCAGGGATGTTCAACGTGCCATACAAACACCATGTGTTACGTAGTAGCTCAAAGTCCGGGTTAAAGCACAACACTGTTCTTAAAAGTCCCATTGTCTCATGCTGTCCCCCTAGTTGCCATGACTACCTGGTACACATCAGCCTGGATTTTAGTTTCAAAAACTGGATCCCTGTTTTATTTGTGGAACTAGGGTAAAATAAATTTTTCTTTACTGACTTGGTTGTGGCAGCTGCTGATGGTTGCAATGGTGGTGATGAGGGCGGTAGTAGCAATGAGATCAGTTGTTGCTATGTGAGCGGTGTTGGATATGTATGCGGTGTTGGATATGTGAGTGAGTAGAGAGGTTCCGGGGTACGATTTTCCATGCCAAAATCCGTATGGACGCTACGGCTATTTTCGAGGCGCGTTTCATACGATTTTTCGGCACGGAGAATCCGAGGGGACTAGCTTTCATACGAGCCATGTTTCGCACGGAGATTTTGCGTCATCGAGTGCAGAAAGATTTTTCGAGTACAAATTTGGTACGAGAAACATCGATTTTCCACGGGAAGTTTCGATTTCGGTACACATTTTCAAAATAAAAGGCACAGCGCGGGAATGTGACGTGTTTGCAATCGTAACCTAGGCAATGACGGCAAACATATAAGTTCCGTACTCCGGAACATTTCACTGCTCGAAAACGACGTATAAAAAATCCGTAGCGCCACGAAAAGTCGTACTCGGGAACCTGTCTATTATGCTTACGGGAGTGGTGATGGATATTACAGTGATTGTGATGAGAGTGTTAGTGGAAGTCGTGGTGGTGGGGGGGGGGGGGGGTGGAAGTCGTGGTGGTGGGGGGGGGGGGGTGGAAGTCATGGTGGTGGTTGGGGGGGGGGGGGGGGGGGGTGGTGGAAGTGGTGGTGGTGATAGAGGGGGGGGGGGGGGGTGAATGTGTATCACCAGTATCAATGGTAGAAGTGGTGTTTCAGGAGTGCATTTCTCATACTTTGGTAGTCTCACTAGAAATAGAACTGCTACTGTTACGATAGTCTCTACTGATGTGTCGTTGCTATATGGCTATACTGTAATGTGTGTAGTCATGGTTGAGAAACTCAATGCTACAATCATAGATTTCAACTCCAGAATAGTTCGGGTCAAGTTGAGTAGTGCTTTTTATCTGCTTCTGTGTGTGTGTGTGTATGTGTGTGTGTGTGCGCGCGCGCATGCGCTCATGCGCGTGTGTTCATGTGTTGTTTGGTTTAGCTGCCACAGGCAATCCGTTTGACTCGCCTGAGTTCATTGCTGACATACATCCATGGCTGCTGACTGTGGATGCCGACGTGTTCCGGGAGGCAGCACAGCAAAACCAGCTGCTGCGCACTTTTGCCATTGTCGCAAACCTAGAAAATATTTTGAAGCGGGAAGGTCCGGAGGCGCACAACAAGAAGCTGGTTCAAATCATCTCGGCCGATGAACTGCATGGATACAAGCGCTTGTGTCACGTCGTTGCCGAAATGGGCTTCCACACCCGAGTGCGTCAGATGCTGAACCAGCTACCAGAGAAGGATCGACCATGCCTAGGCAAGTTACAGTATTAATACTATTGCTCAATAATGAAGGTGATCATGTTGTTGAATACGACTCGCATGTTCCTCGTGGAGAGGCCTATATATTGGCTGAACGTATCTTTCAAACTCATTCTGGCCAATGAAGCAACAATATACATCTTAGTAAATCAGCACTCACTGCATTCGAATGCTTGTTATGGCTTCCACTGGTCAGTTTCTATGGGCAACCAGAAAGCATATTGCTCGTCTGTGTTGTCTCCATGACAACAAAATCGAGTTCAGTTGAATGCCCACAGATCCAAATGCGTGCACTAACGTTCAGCAATAGTGAAAACATGTATCGGGACTAGCCCTTTCCCAAAGGTGCTTGCCCTTTTTTTGCAGCTTTTTGGCCCTTTTTGGAAAAGCCCGTTTCTTTCGCCCTTTATTGCGTTTTTGGTGAAATATCGCCCTTTGTGAGCTTTTTAGCTGAGAAAGTGCTAAAATATGTTTGCTCATGCATGCGGTCACGTCACAGTTTCCGAGTGCTCGATCTGGATGGGCCTTGGCACGCCGCATTTTCGGGGGGGGGGGGGGGGCAACAAGTTGGTGAAGCTTGCTGTAATTGCTGTAAAAAGTGTTTTTTAGAACTTTACTTCACTGTAAAAAGAGCACTTTTTGCCTGTTTTCCCTGAAAAAGAGCACTTTTTCAGCATATTTTGAGGGACGCGAAAAGCACTAAGTGCGAATTAAAAGAGCACCTTTGGGAAAGGGCTACTTGGGACCCCCCCCCCCCCCCCCCCCCGTCATCACACATGAACAAAACAAAGATCCATGCAACAATTTGTGAATTCTCTTTTGCGCATATGACATTTTTTATATTGGGCCACCCAGAAACCTGCTCTGAAATACATAATGTAGTACAATAACTTCAGTTACAATCTGGGAGTTTTCGACGCGAAAAGCTCTACAGTCAGCAGAAGGTTGTGTCCCGTCCAACACGGAGTCACACGCCGCTGGCAATGTTAGAACATGTTCTATTTCATCCGTGGTTGCTGTGAACAATGCTCTGTGGAAGCGAAATTGAGATAAGAGAATGTTTGAAGCCCATGCCTGAGTCTGAGTCTCTTTCAGACGCATTCCTTGCCCTTGCTGTTTTCGTAAACCATTCGGATCGTGTGTGCGCAGAGTAATGTACACAATAGTCATGAAGGCGATAAAAAAACATTTTGCAGTCGGGTGAAAATTACGGCCGGTCGGGTGACCCGAAACAACAAATGAATTCTGGTTGGCCTTGTCCTCTTCTTCTGTATTTCCTACAGATTTACCCAGGTCAGGTGACATGGCAACCACAAGCGTACGGCGGCGAACCCGAACAGGTGTGGACGGTGGCAATTATGATGTGGCAATTAT